CTCGCCACCCACGTGTGAATGTAAAGTTTATTGAGAGCGGGTTTAGAGTTGAGGAGTTACGGCATTTCGAAGGTGATATCAATTATAGCTCCTTAGGGTAATTAGAGAAAAAGGTCCCATGCATGCCATGCATGCATGCTTGAAGTTGGTTGGGTACGCCCAGCGTAAGCTAGAAGTACGCCCAGTGTAATGAGGGGAGAAACGTGGGGGGCAAGGTTGAGTACGCCCAACGTACTAGAGGTACGCCCAGCGTACTCTCAGAACCCCAAGCCCTAATTTTAAGGGCAACCACTATATAAGGAACATAATGGTTCCCTCCTAAGCCTCCATAGACACTCTCTTACCTCCATAAACCTTAGAAATTCGTATTCCCTCCATTGTTGAGTGTGTTTGGTCTTGGAAAGCTTATTTTGGCAAAAGAGAAGCTAGAAGAAGAAAGGAGAAGTTGTCAAAGAAGGAGGGGAACGACTGGAGCTTATAGATCTGGAAAGACATCATCCTTTGGAGCCTATTTGAGGTATAAAGCTTCTTGCTTGACATTCATATTGTGTAGATCCATGTATTGTGAAGCTTTGACATCATTCTTGTCCCAAAAGTCCTCATCTTGTTGCATGTTTCGAATTGGTCAAGATTATCTGTCCTCTCAGACCATAGGAGAGGTCTTGAGTGAGAAAAATGAGGTCCCAAGGGTTGTGGTTGTTCCATGTGTGAGATAAGTAGGTCTTAATGGATTAAGACTTTGGATTAAGAGCTTTATGGACGTCCCAAGTGATAAAGTTTGATACTTTATGAATTTTAATCACATTTGGCCTAAGGATCTGAAGTTTAGGCTTAAGAGCTTAAGTCATTAATCAGTTGTATGATTTTGTTGAGCCACAAGGTTACGCCCCGCGTAACCTTTGAGTACGCCCCGCGTAGAGAGTAAGTGACCCGATCCCCTTTGTGAATCAATGTTGTACGCCCAGCGTACCAGAGAGGGTACGCCCAACGTACTCCCCCTGTTGAATTTCCATTTTGGGCCTTACAGTTTGGGCTGTTACTGGGCTGTTGGTTCATGGGCCATGACTGGAAATTTACGGATAGGGTACTTTGGGCCCAATTATTATTATGGACCTTGGATCAAGGCCCATTTGGTGATGAGGGCCGAATGTAGTAAATTGGGCCAATATTGGGCTTTGTAGTAGATTTGGACTTTAGCCTTGGCTCGTTAAGTGGATGTATGTTTGGCCTAATGACTATTTTGTTATGATGGCTAGTTCGAGATTTCCGGTGAGTCGGTGATTCGGGAATCGACTTATTCAGTTCAGAGTTTCGGCAATCGCGAGGTGAGTTATCGTTACTATATCAACAGTGTCTAAGGCACCAAGGCTGACCCTTTATCGGATTGTAATTCGGGTATTGTTGTTATGTTGCTGTTTTGCTATGTTTGCATCCTAGTAGTTAGGATGGTATATGTTAGAGACCTATTTAAGGTCGGTATCCTGGGATATAGGGTGAATCTATGCTAGTGACCGGTTAGGTCGGTATCCTGCTTAGAGTATGTTGTGTTGGATGATCTGCTAGATCAGTTTGATTGAATGTGAATTGTTATATGATTGTATGTTTATGTGCACATGGTTGTTTGACTGGGGTTGGGTTGAGGCGGGACCTGCTTTGTGCTGTAGGCCAACATACCGACGGCGGACCGGTTATTCCGAAGGCCCAACGAGTGGTCCGGATAGGCTGTAGGCCCCACAAGGGCGGACCAGACGTTCCGAGGCTCAGAGAGTGGACCAGGCCGACTGAAGGCCCGATGCGGGCGGACCAGTCATATTGTAGACTCAGAGAGTGGACCAGGTGGGTTGAAGGCCTGGTGCGGGCGGACCAACCACACTTTAGACTTGAGGGACATGACTAGACTCGGAGGGTGGAGCCGGTGGACTGAAGGCCCTATACGGCGAACCAGTCACGTAGTAGACCTGATATGCATGGCCGTTCTGTGATTTGTTATGATATAGCATGATATGTGTATGGTATATGTGGTTGGTATATTGGGGTTATCTCACTAAGCTTTCGGGCTTACAGTTGTGGTTTAATGTTTTTTCAGGTTCTTCAGGAGACCGTGGCAAGGTAAAGTCGTGATTGTACCGCTCCTCGTGTTTACGTTTTATATTATGGTTCTGGGAAGACTCTGATAATAATTGTATTGAAAACCTTTTTGTAATAACATTATGAAAATGGGTTGTTTTGAAAAGTTAAAATTTATTGAAAATTTATGGTCATTACAGTGGGGTGCAATCTCTTGGGCACCTTGTCAACCAGAAGGGTATTCTAGTCGATTCGGCCAAGATAGAGGTCGTGATGTAGTGGGAGATTCCACGGTCTCCATCTGAGATTCGGAGTTTCCCGGGTCTAGCAGGTTATTACCAAAGATTTATACGGGACTTCTCTGAGATTGCGATTCCTTTGAACCGACTAACCAAGAAGTCGGTGGCCTTTTGCTGGGGGCTGGAGTAGCAGGTAGCCTTCGAGACTCTCAGACAACGGTTATGTGAGGCACCGATTCTCGCCCTGCCAAAGGGTGTAGATGATTTTGTGGTTTACTGTGATGCTTTAATCATGGGCATGGGTACAGTACTGATACAGTGGGGTCATGTGATAGCAGGTTTTGGGAACCATGTTAGAGTTCCGATTAGGACTCAAGTTTAGTGATGTCTTAGGTCTAGTGTGTGTTTGACTCAGTTTGGAAAGTGTTGTAAGACTATGGGGGTAGCTGTAGCATTCACTGGTTGTCAGTTAGTATGGTAAGTGTTGTAATACTACGGGTTAGCTGTAGCATTCACTGGTGGTCAGTTAGCATGGGAAGTGTTGTAAGTCTGTAGGTGTAGCGGTAGCGTTCACTAACAGTTAGATAGTATTAGAGTGTTATAAGTCTGCGGGTGTAGCCGTAGCACTCACTAGCAACCAGATAGTGTTAGAGTGTTGTAGGCATGCGGGTGTAGCCGTAGCATTCACTAGCAGCCATATAGTGATAAAGTGTTGTAAGTCTGCGGGTGTAGCCGTAGCATTCACTAGGTTGGTAGATAGCATGAGTGCGTTGTTAGGATGCGGAAGGAATAATAGTACCCACCAGTTCAGGTGTAGTAACGCAGATATGGAAATCCTCAGATTGGATTTCAGAATTTCTCAGATGGATTAGATCTAGTGGAGCCAGTGATAAGACTGTAGGAAAGCCACTGCAGTTTTGAGATCGAGGAAGCAATGGATTTCTTAAGGTAGCTTGTTATATAAGGCTACAATTGGTCATGTAGCAATCACATTTAGCTGTGGTATGGTAACGTCTGGATTCGACACATGGACTGATCAGTTGGATCAGGAGGTTGTTATAGCCTTAGTGGCATGATAACTAGTGGAAACTAGTTCCAGAGAAGAATTTTGTTCAGGAGTTGTGTGAGACGACTATGTGGGGGTCCTTTGGATCCTCGTCCGGGCCGGGACCTAGTATTTCAGATGGTTGGCAAACAACAAAAACCAGGGAGGTGTCGACGGATTTTGACTGGCAGCAGCATACTGCTTCAGGCGGATCAGTGTTCGGGCAGTTTCAGCGGTTGGGTAGTATTAATATTTACGATTTAGGTTGCAAGTACATACGGGATAGCTGGTTGATTGGGAAGTGACAATTCATTCACAACGGGATTAGCCAACCCTTGGCCAAGGAGAAGTGATTTGAAGGGGTAATTGGGTCTGTAATCCAGTTTTATAGTGGGAGCTCGAACTATCAGAAGTTGAGTAGACGGTTGAGGGATAAACAGATTGATTCATCGATGATGATTCAGTATGAGTGGTCAATCGGAGATTCAGACCATCTCGAGACAACAGATTTCAGATGGAGTAGATGTGATCTTTTTGCGAGGAATTTGTTCACTTGCGGATGTTAGGGCTTTGCAAAGATTAGTCACAGCTACCCTTGGAAGGTTCGGGTGTACCCAAGGTGGTGACCATGTACTCGAGTGGTTTGGCGCATAAGAAATGGTACAGAATGATTTTGAGGACTAAATCTAATTTAAGTAGTGGAGAGTCGTAACACCCCATTTATTTAATAAATAAATAAGTAAATTAATGAATGTATATAGGCCCTAAAAGCGGAATAATGTAGCAATGAGTTAGTTTCGGGGGTTAAAAAGTTATAATTGAAAGTTTAAGGGGTTAACAATATAATTTTCAGATTAGTTTATAAAGGATTTTGAAGTCAGGGGCTAAAGAGTAAATAATGGACTTCATTTGAGGATAAATATAGAGGAAGGGGTTACTTGGTAAAAGTTGGATTTAATTTGTAAAGGTTTTCAAGAGGCAGGGTTTAAATGGTAATTTATGGGCTCCCTTTTTAAAGAATATGGGAAGGCAGGGACTAAAGGTGATATTATGGAAAAAGATGAAATTGGACGGGGTATATAGTTGTCACCACCCGCCTAACCCTAACCCTAACACAAGAAACTACAGTCGCCACATCCTTCTTCACTTTCGGTAGACACCAGCACCATGGAAGCTCCTCAACCGCCGTTTGCATCACTAACCCCCGACAGCCCAGTTCCGCTTGTTGCTTCGTCGACGAGCATCGTCGTCCCACCACCTGATGCCGCCTTGAGATGTGTGAACGACCAGGAACTTTACCAAGAATGAAGACGAAGCTGTGAACGGAAAATACGAGTCACGTACGATCGGAATGGTCACGGTAATCCATCTCTCATTTCTTTCATCCCTTTTAGTTGTTCGGAACTGTAATCACCATGTTGGGGTCGTAACCGCCATTGTTCTCAATTTCTATGGCGTTCTGGTGATGTCTGCCACCCTATAGGTGGTTGAATGCGTGCGTGTCTGCCTTTATGGGTTGCTTATGGTGCTAACAGTGGTGTATGGGTGTTATTTTGGGTAAAGAAGCAAGATACCCGCCACCACCACAGTAAGGTGTTGGCAGTCATCTTCAACCACCATGTGTCACCACAAGTTCACCGATCGAGTACATGAACTGGTGGTGTCGTGTTCCTGGAGTGAGTGTGTTTATTGTTGCTGATCGGAGAAGCTCAAGGAGAAACTTCCATGGCCGCCATGGTGGCCGCCGCCACTCGCCACCGCCGGCCACTACAAGGTGGTTGTTCGTGCATTTTATTTTTGATATGTTATTTTGAGCTAAGCATTGCAAAATTGTAATAGTGGCTAGAATAATTAAATGAAAACTCAAAACCACCACCGTGAGGTGGTGGCTGCCACCTCCTGCCGCCGTGTTGGGTGGCGGTGTGCTTTGATGGTGTTCTGACTCGTTTGGATGTTTGGACAAATGGACTAAGAAACCCTAATGGGCCCAATGAGGCTTAATGGGCTTAATAAACCCTAATAGACCCAATGAAGCTTAATGGACCTAAAATCCCAAAAAGATTACTAATGGGCCTAGTGGAACCTTAATGAGTCTAATGAACCTTAATTAATCAAAAGGCATATCAATTGGGCCTATTCAGCTAAGATGGGGTTGGAAACCCTAATTAGGGTTTATAAAACCCTAATATTGGATTTATGGGCTTGGACTTATTGGGACCCACTTTTGGGTCATTGGAATAGAATTTTGTGATTAAGCCCATACACACCATACGACTTATTTAGATGAATGATGGACTTAATGGATTAAGTCCTTAATGGATTAAGTCATTAATGGGTTAAGTGAGAAACACTTAACCCTAATTGTCATTTTATGTGAAAACGCTAATTTCACTTGGGTTTATTGTTGGGCCTTATATTGGGCCTTGATGATTGGGTTATTAATGGGCCATCCAAGATCAAGCAAATGGACTAGAATAATTAATGGGCTTTGAGGTAAGTCCCATATGAGGGGTTGGGCCCAATTTGGAAAATTGGGCCATAGATGGGCTATAGTTGGACCTTTATGATTATATAATATTGGACCATTAGACTGTCAAAGGTTGGACTGGAATAAATGGTTGGGCCATATGGTAAGACCTTGTAAAGGTTTGTGCCTAATTAGGAAAATTTGGCCATATGTTGGGCTTTGATTTCCTACTTAACTTTGGGCCTATGGATTGGGCCTTGGGCTTGCATAAAGCCATGTTTGGGGTAATGTAGTAATTATCCAAAGTTTGTACTCATGGTTATGTAGTGGAACCCAATTATTAGTTGGTTGTTATTTTGGTGTTGATAGTTCAGGAATCTGTCATCCAACAACTAGGGTGGAATCTGCAGGACTTCAACAGTGTGGGATTGTGTCTACGGGACTTCAACAGTGTGAGGTGAGTTACCTTCCAGTAGAACTGGGTCTAAGGCACCAAGGTCGGCCCACTAGTAGTTGACTATAGTTGAGATGATTGTCTTTGTGATGATTGTCTGGTTTGCTACTACCTGGTATGTTTATGTGATAGCATGATATGTCATATGTGATAGTGGTAGTAGGAGGGGAATAGTCCCCAAGTTCAGTTGTTAGGACCGAAAGGTATGTCGGGCACTCAAGATATGCCTGACAATATTATTATGTTATGATATGTTATTATGTGATAATAGTAGGGGTGATATACTCCCCGTAAACGGGTAAGATAGACCGGAGGGTACGCAGGCACCCCAGAATGGCCTGACATGGGTAGTCAGCACCCCAGAGTGGCTTGACATGGGTAGTCAGCACCCCAGAATGGCTTGACATGGGTAGGTCGAGCACCCTAGAATTGTCCAGCAGTATGTATGCTATGTGGTTGTATGGTACGTGGTATGATGGGGGAACTCACTAAGCTTCGTGCTTACTGTTTTTAGTTTTGGTTTCAGGTACTCGTTTTTAAATGAAAGGAGTCGGCTTGATCGCAGCGCATCACACTATGGTTTTCCGCACATGAGATCTTTAGGATTACACTATGATATTTTTTTATGATAACATGTTTTGATTATTTCTACTTTGGTTTTGACATGACATGATATTATGGATGTTTTATTATACTGTTGGTTTTATAATAATGTATTTAAAAATGAAATTTTTTTGGCCTGTATTTTTGGGATGTTACACCAACCTGTGTGCATCTTTGTTTGATGGAAATAGTGCCAGCGGTAGCATTAAATGGACCTCTACTCAAACTACACCCATAGATACATCATTTTATTCTCATTGTTTCCAAAGACTTCTGATTGATGGCAATCATTTTAATGGCCTAAAAGATGATGATGATAACGCTTCCAATGACACTGGTGCTCGAGCTCCTAGTGATAAAGCTCATGGTGGTTCTACTTATAGGTTTGCTAAAAGGGCTAAAACCACTGATGCTTCTACTGATAGGCCCAATGATAGGGCTAAAACCACTGATGCTTCTACTGATAGGCATGATAAAGGGGCTAAAACTAGTAATGCTTCTACTGATAGGACCGATATAGATAAAGCCTCTAAAACCTATGTTAGTCTTGATGAGTTGAGTCTTGATATGCAAAAAGATCTGCAACATTTGGTGAATTGCAAGGAAGGGCCAATAGTATAAGAATGTTATGAGAGGTTGAAGCTAGTTGGATTAGACCTAATAGATCCTGTATTTTTGGCAGCCTTTCACCTTTTTGGAATGTCCATGAATATGAGAGAGGCATGGATGACATTACCATTGATACCTAAGGTCTTAAAAGGGTGGATAAAGATGACTGGCACCACATTAGGGATGTTTAAGTAGTCTTTATATTTATGTTTTTTCTTCTATTTTGAACAATTATGTTTTTCTTGAACTTATGTTTGACATTATGTTTTTGGCTATCATTTGACTGATTGTGTACTTATTTGACAAACATTTTAGTATTGAGATTATATGCTTATTTAAAACAAAATGTGTGCTTTGAATATGATACAAATGCTTATGTTTTTTGCTTTATCATATTGGGATTTAACAAGTGTTGATGATTTAACAGGTTCACAATGTATTACGATAAAAAGTTGCGTCTCATAATTGTCATAAATTTGTATCTTCGTTTTTTTTTTTTTTTTTTTTTTGCAGAATATTTTTGAAGAAATGCGAGATAATACCTCAAAAACGTCTTGGCATCAATTCACATTAGAGTTATTACAAGGAACTAATAACCAATGCATTGAGCTCTTACTTATCTCACGTGATTCTTATGTTCAGCTTTGCACACATTTTAGAGTAAAAAGTTGGTTAAAGGATACTAAGCATATATCGGATGAAGAGAAGATGGTGATGTTCTTGATGATGATTGGTCACAATCAACATTATGTAATCATCAAACGTAGATTTCAACTCTCAAAAAAAATGATTCATAAGTATTTTTATGAAGTGTTGGATAAAATGATGGTTTTCACAAATGATATAATAGTACTAACTTCCTTTAATCCAAATCCAAACATTCTGGGACATAATAGGAGGTTGTGGAGGATTTTCAAAGGAGCGCTTGGTGCACTTGATGGAACTTTGTGTTGGATAAGGTGTCTAAGTCCATAACTATATTTCGCATGTACTTGACCCGATCCAACATGGTCCATTTGGATTGCACTTCACCGGAACAATTTGTTCGGATTGACTTTCGAGTAGAGTATATATTTGTGATTTATTAATATATTGTAAGTTATAATATATTAATATGAAATCATATTATTTAATTAGTATTGATCAAGAGTTAATTTGGAATTAATTTAGTGATAAAAAGAAGACTAATTAAATATGGACTCTTATATAGTATGGGCCAAGGTTTATTTAGGATGGGCTAAGCTTACATGGAAGTCCATCGATAGTCCATGGAGTTATAACCCATGGATCTAAGTAAATGAAGAGTCATGGGTATTAGGGTTTACCCTAATCATTCTACACTATATAAAGAGCACCAAGGCTATCATTTTCGGTTACTAGAGGTGTGTGTAGTGAGCATAACCGAAAATAGTGTGTGTTATACTCTCTAAAGAACTTCCAAGTTTTTGTGGTGATTTGTGATTCCACTTGAGGCATTCACATTATTGGTGCTAGTCTCTTAAAGCTCCAAGCAATCAACTACAAGAAAAGGTATGTATTTCTATCTAGTTTTTATTGTACAAAAACCTACAATTGCATACTAGATAGGACAATGCTTTGGAAATCAATTTTGCATGAATAATAGAGAAAACATAGTTCCAAAGCATTTAGGGTTGTATGTGTACCATAAGGTTGTTAGGACGCTCAAAATCCTTCACTTTGGTATATGCTATTTTCTCTCTCGACAAACAACGTTTGTATAGACGAAGGGGAAAAGGAGATTGTTATCAAAATGTATTGGCAATATGCAACTTCAATAAGATTTTTACGTTTGTCGTGAATGGTTGGGAAGGGATAGGACATAATTCAGGAATATTATCTAAAGCTTTAACAGGTCGAGATGCATCATTCTCATTTCCACTGCCAGGCTTGTTTACATTTTCATTTTAATATTTCTACTTTTTTTTTAATTAATTATTTCCTTATATTTACAGATAAGTATTATCTTTCTGATGATGAGTATACACACACCCGATGATTTATGGCTCCTTATCGTAATGTGGAGTATTGGCTTGGAGATTTTCATCGAAGACGTGAATTAACCAACAAAGAAAAATTTAATCACTCACATGCAAAACTTCGAAATGTCATTGAACATGCTTTTGGTGTCTTGAAAGCATGTTTCCATATATTGAAGAGAATGACTCCATTTCCATTGGTTACACAAAGAAACATTGTCATTGCATGTTTTGCACTTCATAATTTTATAAGAAAAGAGAGATTAAGTGATGAGTATTTTTCTCAATATGATCAAGTCGATATATCACTTCAAAGTAACAATGTACAAGATGATGATGATGATGATGATGATGATGATTATGATGATGATTATGATGATGATGATGATGATGATGATTATTATGATGATGATCATCATCATCATGAGGAGGAGGAGAAGGAGGAGGAGGAGGATGACGTGGATGAGGTACAACCACACGGAAGTGCAAGAGATCAAGAATATATGGTTCATCTACGAGATCAAATTGCTAATTAACCAGTTAATGCGAAATATAGAATGACTGATTTCATAACAAAATATGTTAGTTTTGTGAATTTAGTTTTAATATTGTAAGACAATCATCAAAACAATCATTTATGGTTTTAAAAATATCAACTTTAACAAGTAAGCGGCCTTCCGGTTTGAATCGAAATATATATAGTTTATCTAATGTTTTAAAAAATATTATATGTTTGAAACTGTATGAAATTGTTATTGGCAAAGTTTGAGTCAAATATAAATTCTAATATCTTATCTTAATTACCTTATAAAGCATTTTTAGTCAAATGCTGAATTTTAAGTCGTACAAACATACAATGCATTTGTACAATCAATTTATGCATTACAAAAAGAGTAGAGTACATATGGTCAACAGTTGAAAATGTCAAATCTCTTATCCCTATTCTTAGGCTATTTTGACCCGGTTTATTCCTTATCTCCGTATTTCCCTAAACCTCGCAATTTCTGTTCACAAATCTTGGGTATATATTGCTGACGTTTCCATTTCTAAGGTTTAATTCATCTTTCAGCATTCAACCACCATTATCACACCTGTCGTTTGGCGCGGGTAAACGACTAGTATTAGTAATGTATGAGATGCTGAGTTTTTAGCATTTGGGCTTTGGTTGTTTCACCATTAATTTCAAAGATTGGTTTTGTTGTTGAACAATAGAAATTAATGCAAATCAGGTGGCAACGTGTAAGTATACAATTCTTATTAAAAAAAATACAATGTGTTTTTTAATGTTGCTTTTTCATATTATTTAATATTTTCTTACAAAATACTATATATCTATTAAATTGTTCGTAAATATTGTTAAATGGATAGGTTTTTCAATTTATTAAAAACCAACGTGAATTATTCATATTTTAATATGAAAAAAAAATAGTTAATTGATTTCCTTTATTACAAGATCTCTTAAGTTTTAGTTAATTCTAATTAAAAAACAAACAATCTTTTTGCATTAAAACTTTTTGTATGAATACATAAAAAAAAATGACTTTTAATCCACCTCTTCTTCCACCACATAAAAAAAGACAAAAAAACATTTGACAACTTCTAAAACAAACAACACATAAGTTTAATAGTTAGGATTGGTTTTTAGTCCAAGATACATAAAAACCCACTATCTAGGATTAGGTATCGGCTAACTTAATCTCTGGTGACAATTAATGACTGATTATTGACAATCTAAGGCTGAATTTGTCACTCTTTGCTACCCATTTTTTGTAGTGAATTTGTCACTAATGACTTAATCTCATCCTTCCTTTGGCTTTCTCTCTTTTCCATTACTGTTGAAGAACTTCCCTAATGTTGCAGCCTCGTAAACAAACAAATCCAAACAAATTGAAAGCGTCATATATAATTCTCCCATAATTAAACAAGTATGTTTAAAGTTATGATACTCACATTAACTACTATAACTAAGGGCTAAGACGGAAAATAGAAAATTTGTAACACATTAATTCCAAATTTAAGTACTTCTATTGAAGAAAAAAATCATAATTTTTTGAATGCAAACATGATCATAATTATTTACTTTACAACTCAAGCAATATAGCAAATTGAATCATAATTGTTAGGTCTGAGTTTAACTTAGTGAGATTGTAAATGGGGTTTGAATGTAATCTTTAAAAAAGAAAAATTGAACTTTTATGAAAAACAAATAACAAAAAAAAAAAAAAAAGTGAAATTAATTTGTTTGATTAGTAAATCATGCAAGTTACAAATTTTTTGAAACGAAAATAAAATCTCACAAATATTAGAAATAACTTGTTTAATTAGTAAAATTGTTTGATTGTCTACAAGGTCTAATCCAAAAAATCATAACTAAAAAGTCAGTCAAAACATTTAAAAAAAGTAGTTCCATATGTTGTTATTTATTTATTTATTTATTTTTGTTGCTAACAGTAAACATATAACAACAGTAACTACATGTGAACATCAAGAACCGTTTTATTAATGTGAGAACCGATTAGGTTAAAACTTAACCACCAATTAGAAATAGATTAAAACCGGCTTGTTCTAGATTTTGCTTAAAACCCGGAATCAAATTAGTTTTTAACTAGAAAAAAGAAAGGTTTTTTTAACATTATTTCACTTCCAAAAGACCAATAAAACAAAACTAATTATAACCAACACCAGTATAGAGAAAACCGGTATTTGTTCAGCTCTAGTAATAACAAAACATGGTTCAATTAAGAATTTTGAACTCTAAATGGATCTAAAGTGGACTTGGATATGTTAGATTTAGATGACTACATAGAATCCTATTACGTTTTTAAGATTTAGATGACTAAAGGATATGTCAGTTATGGGCCTAAAGTTTGAAATCGGATATGGCGTCCAAAATATCTAAGGCTGGCCTAGTATCGTACCTAAACTCAAAGACTTCACAGCTAAATCGGTTTTTAACCGTTAACAACCATCATCTTTGGTTAAATTCTCCATCCCGTGCAATATACTTCTGCATTA